GTTGAAAAATTTTATTTTTTTTAATTTTTATTTTACAAAAGAATATTATTTTGATTAAATAAATATTTATATGGAAAATAAATACAAAAAGGAGCTATTTGATTTGCAAAGGGTTATCCATTTTGCGGTTCCAAGAGCGCAAGTAAATAAAATAATAAAAAAAATTTATAATAAAATAAAATAAAAAATAAATAAACAAAAATATTAAATAAAATATAAAAAAAAAAATTGTTCAAGAAATTCCCTCTTAATTACAAAAGCTGAAGCTTGGCATTATGTGTGTAAAAATATGTAACACTGCGCCATTTAAGTGACCGCCTGGGGAATTTTTGCGTACCTTGATCAGTTTAAGGTAATTTTCGACTAATTTTCGGCACAAACTGGATGGTTTCTTAGTTATGACTCGAAGAATATTGGCTTTCAAGTGCTCGAGAGTTAAAGGTTTATACGCAGAAGTACGGTCTTTAGCGTAGTCTCACAAAGAAAGTAGGCCAACGGTATCAAATCCCACGATCTCGATGGCCCACTGACATTGCCAAGACAAAAGACTATGTGGCGCGGGTAAATTTCTCACGGAATAAAGCCACATCCGCTCGTATTGTGTGGCATGTGGCACCATTTTGTTAAAACCACGAATTGTACAAGTCGTGTTCTTCAACTGAAGGCCCTGAAAAGTCGCTTTTCACACGATCAAATCCGAATTGACAATGACAGTCTCACCGCTGTACTTTCTAAAGAAGTAAGGTCCAATTACACATTCGGACAAAAGTGTACACCAGACATTAAGTTTTTTTTTTTTTTTTTAAGTTTAATAGCCACTCTTTAATTATTTGAAGATTCTCGAAGCCCCAAATGTGACCGTTTTGCTTATCTGCTTGCCCACCGAATGAGAAATGCGCCACGATGCTAAAGAAAATTTTGTTCGAAAACTCGCCGTCCACAGCTTGCTGTCCAAGCACGCAATCGACGTCATTCGAGTACGCAAAATAGTATTTGATCTTTTCGACAAGTGGTTTTCAAGAAGAAAAAAATCGCATTTAATTTACTGTTATGAACAAAGGATAAGGGTTTTATAGTATAAGGGTTTCTCATTAAGTTTTAAAAATTACTTCCAACCGAGAAGCGAAATTTTTGACCACTTTTTGCAGCAATCGGAGCCGGATGTAATCCGAATGTTATCTTCCAGGGGGTCTATCGTCTTAGAGTTATCTGCGTAGACAAGCTACTTCACATTATTTTGCGAAAAACTCCCACACCCAGGCCTCTTACAGGCCGGGCTACAGACCCACGACGCGAGATAATATGGTCACCGGAAGCTTTTGGTGAGTTGATTGTTTTGTTGCCTAAATGTCATGTTGTTGGAACCAAGGGTCGTTCACATAAGAAACATCCAATTCAGGCACGAAAAATTCTTTAATCATAGCTCTATAACGTTCTGTAACTTCGTAGCCGGCTTAATTTTTTTAGAAGTATGAACGAAAGATCCCCTCTGTCCACAGAGCACACCAGACAGAGACCTTTTGGGTATGCAACGGGGTCTCAATATTGGATAGAACCAAATTTACTAGTGAAATTATGGATCAGTAGTCGTCTTGTTTTGGTCCCTTTCACGGAATGTGGGAAGCACTTGTTGGTCGTTCAGATAGAGTTCTTGAACGAGTTGGATTTTGTAAAGCTTTCCAGAAAATGGTTGGGCATAGCTCCAGTTGTTGCGCATGATGGCAGATGAAGTCATTCGGGTCTTCTTCGTTACTCTGTCTCTACAGTGCTCACTTTAGGGCATCTCTGAGGATCTGTATTATTCACAATAGTAAATCTGGCGCGAAACCGATTGCTCGAATTATCAACTCGAATTATCAACTCTACTCGGTGGCTAAGTCGACCAGAAGTTACGCATTATACTTCGCGTGAATCGTACCATTAATTGGGTAATAAACGATTTGCAAACGATGTTCCGGAGTAAGTATGTTCATGTGGCATACTAAACTGTACGTTAGTCAAGTAACGGCTGTTAAGCTAATGTTCGTTAGTCAATTAGAGGAGACGCACAATGTGAACAGGGACATGAAATGTCTTCATAAAACTGGAATTTGTCATGGGGAATGTTAGTCGGCTTGAGATGCGCACTTTCAGATATACATAAATTGGCTCTTCATAACCGCTAAAACGATTTTCAGTCAAGCTTGTGGCGTGTGATTTTTTTATGTGATATTTATCCAATATATGGGGAACCTACAGTTTGTTCCAAGCAGACTCCGAAGTGCTGGTAAATTTTTATGAGAACCTTTTACCTAACAAAACAGAATTTCACTCGCAGTTGTTTAAATTTTTATTTTTAAATTTTAATTGGTGGTATGAACAGGTTTGGAACTCTTCCCCTACGCCCAAATACTGTACCTAAAATAAATGATATGAGACAGCTGGAAAAGTGGGTCATGCTGAATTTGTATGGTGTGCTGTGTAGCGGTTATAAAGGAAGGTTATCGCCAAGCCTCAGAATACGATGTAAATGTTACAGTAATGGAAATGCTATTAATAAATTTATTGCTTTATTTCACTAGCAAAACTTTCTATTCCTCGCACCCCAGAAACTCACATTGTAGGTAAATAGTGAAAAAAGCAAAATATATAATATTTTTAGCTATTAAAAAATAAAATAAAAACTTAAATAGTGTAATAAATTCAATCATATCTAATGATTTTAGTACTTTCGACCTATTCTTCGAAATGAAGATCGTTTTTCAAATATATATTAAAGCGAAAAATATTATAATTTGAAAAAGTTAATATCTCATAATTATATTTATTATTTTAATATTCAAAAACTATCAGACAATTCAAAAAAAATATATCGAAAACTATGGCAACTCTTTCTTGTTCGTCGTTGACTATAACTAAGCATTTGGTATCACCTCTCACTGGCATCTTTATGTTAACAACAGATATTGTAGTATAACAAAAATGTTAACTCACATAGTCAGCCGGAAAGTATGCAATAAAAATTAAGAACTACGCATAAATGCAACTAAAACAGCTGCTACAGTCATGGCCACAATTAAGACATATAAAATGAAATAGAATTTCGCGTTGCTCATGTTACTAACAGACTGTACATAAGTAGAAAAATTCAATAAATATTTGCGCGATTGTAATTTTATATTCAATCAAGTAAAAAAAATTTGTAAAAAATTAATTACACATATTTAATAGCAATAAATTCTGTTAAGTGAGTTACTGTACGATGACAGACACCGAAGGACAAATCGGCGTTGGGAATTTTTAACAGCAACGACATGGATAATATTGATGATCATTTGGACAATGAATGACAATGGAATGACAGAATTAAGAGACGCTGGCTTGGTTTTCTCATCCGTATGGATGAAAGCGCTCATCCTTTTCTCATACATGTATGAAAGAATGAAGCCTAAAGTCAACAAACCGATTGGATCTCATCAATGTGGCTAAAGACCTGGTAAATCAATCATACTCACCATACAACAAAACCCGTTAGAAAAGGATCGATAACACCACCTTTTTATCAAGTCTGCCTCCGAAGCAGCGCCAGAATTGGGAAGGACCTTTCCGAGCCATTCGATACCAAATGGGTCTGGCAGTGAACGAAGAGAATACGAAATATCTTATATTTACAGCTTGGATCCCATGCCACTGTTCACAGTCATAATTTCCAGATCGTAGTATTAGTACCAACAACAATGTCAGTCTTGGAATCCAGCGCAAAATTACTCTTACAGAGCTACTTTGGACTGAGTAGGCATTTGAAAAGTAGAGTCATTTCTCGACAGATCAAAACCAAACTCTGCAAGTTACGCATCACTCCCGTTCTGTTATATGGTGCAGAAGCGCGGGCAATGTCTACAACCAATGAGGGACCCTGCGAACTTTTTCGTGTTTATGGTGTTTTGCGTGTTCGCAACGGTGAATACCGTAGCCGATAGAACGATAGAAAGATAGAAGAATGAGCTGTACGAGTTATACAGTAACAATAATATACGGGCTCAGCGGCCATACTGGCTGGGTCATGTTGTCCCAATGAATGAAAGTGCTCCAGCTTTGAATATATTCGGTGCAGTACCCGTTGGTGAAAGCAGTGAAGAGAAAGGTCTCCACAACTGGTTTAACAGGGTATTTCCAAGTGGTCCCAAAAATTGAAAAGTAGGGTTGAATGGTGCTATAATTCGGCTTGATTCAGCCATAATTGCGTGAGCGGTGCCTAAGCCATGGTTAAAAAAGCAGAATAATCATTTTCTGAATTTCAAAAAAAATTACCTATTTTTCCATGAAACTTATTTAGGATGTGAGTTGCTTTGCCAACGAAAAATGATGCGTTTTTTATTGATTAAGCGAGGTTTGCTTACCATTTCCTGTTCATAAAAACATTATTTGGCTTTGTTACCAATCTAAATCGAAGAAATAAATGTGTTCCTGATTTTTTGAGTGATTTTCGTAACCCTTGCTGCTAAATGAACCAATTTCCAGAACAGCGGAACTGTTTACTGGAAAACTCTGTATGTATCAAGTAGCTTGAATAAGTGTTCTATAAATTCAAATCAAGAGAAAGCACCCAAGTCTACTTTCCTTAAAATATCCGAATGGGCTCCAAAGATTTCCAAAATAACGACAAAAATTCCTGACAACGCTGCATCACTGGCTTTTAATTATTTGTAGGCACATGCGAAATCTCAGCCCACATTTCCACAATCTCATTTCTTTATACTGTCGCTACCCTTCCTTCTTGTATTGTATTGCTGCGAGAATTTTCCATTAACCAATTCCACAATCTTTTAATATTTTTTATTCAGTCTATTTTATTTTTATTCTTAAAAATTAAAGTGTCAAAGCCACAAGCACGACGGGATTTAAACAATTTTATAAATATACATACATACATATATACATACATACATACATATATACACAGTGAAGCATTTTAGACCTTTAATCGACCTTAAAATATTTTTGAAGTGAGTAAAATTAATTTAACTGGCACAATTGCCCAATACATCATCGGTTAGGCCATTGCAGGCAGTGAGAACAGTTTGAGTAAAAGCTGAAAAAGAAATAAATAAAAATGAAAAAGAAATCAATTAGGTTTGTGTATGTAGAACGATCCTTAAATATATTGGCGTTTTTTAAATATTGCTGAACAAAATAAAACATATAATTTAGAAATTCAAATATACTTTCATTAATTAAATAAGGACTCTTCCTACTTCTAAGCTGCAAGATTTCTTGACTTATTGAACAATTTTCTGAACTAGACACACTTTGCGCTTATTTGTTGAGGAAATTGGAAAATTTGATTTTTGCTTCCAAAAAAATTTTCTACTATAGAGTTCAAATACAATTTTCAATTTTAAGAAAAAATATCGTTAATTTCTTTGAGTGAAATTGGCACATGAAATATAACAATAAATTTGAAAATTTCTCAGAAAATTCTGAAATATGCACACTTGGCGGTTATTTGTTAAGAAAATTGAAAAATTTAAGACAGCTTTTCTAGATAAATATTCTATTAGAAAATACAAATTCAATTCAAGAAAAAAATTATTTAAGTTCTTTGATTGAAATTGACCAAGAGCCCACTGATTTTAACAATAAATTTTAAAAAGCTACAAAAATTTATTATTACTTATTCAATTAAAATTTGAATTATATTTGCATTGAATTAGTTCAGTTTTTTTTTTCATTTTTATTGTTTTTAATTTTATAAATATGTATCTATAAATAACAGTGTTGCTCTACACTATCTCGCGCAAATATGGCTCGCTGTACCTCTTGCAGGGTGGCGAAATTTTCATAAAAAAATAAATAAATTGGTTGACCGTATTTATGAAAATGAATTTTATTTATTGTTGTTGTTGTAATAACTGAAAAAGTTCCCCAAATTGGTTTTCGAGGAATTCTGCCGACGACTGCGATGTCATTGGCTGTATTAAAATCCGGTTCTTTACCCGACTTTCGAGGAAATCATTGCCTCTAACGAAAGGCATGTCTTACCGCAGGTGAATTCTTGAACCCGAAGTGGGTTAAATAAAATAATTATTGGTTAATTTGGAAAGCATTTTCAATGGAACTACATATTAAATATATATAAAATTTCTCGCATTCACTGATCCAGCGCCTTGATGGGGCGATTTCGGTGGAAAAATTCAGGCAAAACTGTTTATTGACGCTTTGTAAGCGCTGAGGCTATTTTCGGCCGTGCTCTTCCTGCAATTTGCGGCATACGTTTTTCTTCTTTTACAAGCAAATCCTACAGTTTATAGTAAGCCGCCTGCGAATGGCTGTTGGGTTTTTATGAGAAGCCCTCATTTGATGCCGAAAGGCGGCAGCAACTGGTGTAATTCATTTTATTTTTTTTTTTTTAATTATTTTCAATAATTTTTTGGTCGGATCAGGACTTCAGTCTAAGCCTTCCGAAAGTGCAGTACATACTGTATGTGCACCTTAATTATTGCATGATTTTTTTTGCCAATCTATGTCACTCAATTTTCGAAAAAACCACAACTTTTTTCGCATTGACTTTAATTATTTCGGTTTTTTTTATTTAATAATTTTATGGGGTGCCAAACTATGATATATACCGCCGCTAAGCTCTGAGTGAATTTATTGCGAAAGAAAAAAAATTGATTTAAGTCACTTACGTCTAAAACGATAACAATTTTCCGTTTCCATCAGGCAAGGATTTCTAAATGTTCGACACTGAAGACCCCACGGACCACGCGCACAAATCTTCGAGTTCAATGTACAATCGACGTTGGTAATAACACATCTGCGGAAGCCTTTGACGAAGGCCAAGCAAAAGGCGAACTTAAGACAGAAAGTTAGAATGAACTTCATGGTCGCTAGAATTTTCGTAAGTCACTGAGCAGTAAATATGACGCGTTTTTATAATGACCGAAATATTTAATTTTTTATTTATTGACGTAGTAATAAAAAGTTATGAGCAGACATATAGGAAAAATACACTGAAAACAAAAAATAAAAAAATAATAATAAACTAAGAATTCTAATAAAACTTTACACTTTTTTTGTTTTTTTTTTTTTTGTATTGGCATAAGAGTCAGAAAACTGAAAAAAAGAAAGATTTCTTAATATAGACATAGTCTAAAATCTCAGCTCCGGCTAAAAGCAATTAAGAGAGAAACGTTTTAACTTACCATTAAATCTACCTCCAGAATTTGTCAAGTAAGATTCAGGTAACCGCAACGCCTTTATAACATACAATAGCATTATTCTTTTCGCGCGAATTTATTTAGAAAGTTGGTCGACATTGAAAAACTTGTCAAGCCGATTCTATAAAAATCATAATATGACGCAAATGATCTTTTTCGTTATCCATCTTCCATGCGTCTTTTCACTAAGCAACTCAAATCAAAATGAAGTTATTTTATGCTTGATTTACAGTTCCGACTGTCACCTTTCCAACGATATATAATATGTATATATTTCTTTCACGAGCGCCACTCTCAAACGATTCAAACGGCATCCAGCGGAATCGGGCACGAACATATGCACTCATCCAATATATTGTACATATAATTCATTTTAGAGACTAAAAGTCATATCTTGAATTTGTCTTTAAGTATATGTAAGTGTTCATTATTGCACTCAAAATTACGAGGGGGATCTGTGATGATTTCTATGGTGTAGTTTTCCAGATATAGATTGTCTGTGGTATCTACAAAGCATAAGTTCTTTAATGCAAGTGCTGGCTAGCAATTCGTATATTGGGTTGGAATCACAATCACCACACACGTGAACATATCGACAATCATATGTGTGGGATGGAATTCCGAAATACGAAAAACGATTAGTACTTCTACAGGTAGGGTTACAAATGCTATGACAATCACTTCAATTAGGAGCGTCTATCTAAGCTTCAGCTACATTTTTTTTGCTCGGACCAGTCCCCATTTATAGAGTGAACGAACTTATTTGGCTTGAGCCATTTGCGGAACGTTTTATAAATGGTGATTTCGAATATTCATGGCGCCAAGGTTATGATTTGTATTTGGTGGGATCAGCTCGGTGTGATTTACTATGAGCTCTTAAAACCGGGTGAAACTATGACAGAAGGTCGCTACCGAACGCAACTGATGCGCCATAAGCCCACTTACAAACGAATTCTTCAAAACTTTACTATGAGTTTAGGTTAAGTTCAACTGACTAACTCATTGGGTCTCTGTATTTCTAGTGTAAAGAATATTGCTGTTTTATTCTCACAAACTGAAGTAGTCGTTCTGACACCTTGACCATTGCCAAGTAAGCATAGCGTTTGGCTGCCAAATGCTGGACAATCACAGATTATGTGCACAACTATCACCACACTTGATGTCCGATGTCAGACCTATGTTCAAAGCGACGCCATAAGACAACGCCATCTTAGTAGTCTAGATTCCGCCCTCTTAACGTTTTACATATAGTTTTCGCGACTCGACAGTTCTTAGCTCGTTTCCAGCGTCTATTCGCCTGACGAGGTAGTATTAATTCTTGCTTCTGCTTCAATTCCGTGAATGAAACTGGTTGGCTCTTTACCACGACCTGTTCTAAATAGACACCCTCATTAGCCAGTTCCACAGCTATCTCGTTATTTCAAATATCCAAGTGGCTTGTAAACTAAACTCTTCTGTTTTCAGGGAGTACTTGAATTGCCTCTTTATATAGTGCGACCACAGCTGAACTCGTGCTTTATGAAATTACGGTTTTTTTTGGCTACCTGGATATCCATATAGATCAATATTCATTTCCGTTGTAAGCCAGCAGCATTGCAGTAGCTCTGCTGTCATTTTTATATCAGGTGTACAACTTTGCCTCCGCCGTTTTCCGATAGGTGGCTGTACCGGCTGAGGCTGGTTGAAATACATAGATGATAATGACTTTAAAGTGAGTGTGGACAGTGCATAACGAATTGTCATCGCCGTTTCAGTGATAGTTGTTCTTGTTTTCGTATTATTCACGCTTGAGAATGTCCGTTTATGTGCCTAATTCTCGCCATTTGCGGGAAGTTTTACTTTTCTGTTACAATTCGAAAAAAAAATGCAGCTGAAGCGCATCGAATGCTTTCAAAAACTTACGGTGATGCTGCTCTGATTGAAAGAATGTGTCGGGAGTGGTTTCAACGAATATTCACGGTGCCAAGGTTATGATTTGTATTTGGTGGGATCAGCTTGGTGTGATTTTCTACGAGCTCTTAAAACCGGGTGAAACCATTTCAGGAGATCGCTACCGAACGCAACTGATGCGCCTTAGTCGCGCGCCAAAACAAAAGCGGCCACAATATCAAGAGCGACATGACAAAGTCATCCTCCAACACGACAATGCTCGGCCTCACGTCGCAAAAGTGGTGAAAAAGTACCTGGAAACGCTGAAATAGGAAGTCTTACCCCACCCGCTGTATTTCCCAGATGTCGCCCCTTCTGACTTCCACCTATTCCGTTCAATGGCACACGACCTGGCAGATCAACATTTTCAATCCTTCGAAGAATTGGAAAAATGGATTGCTTCATGAATAGCATCAAAAGAGGACTCCTTTTTTCGAGCCGGGATTCGAAAATTGCCGCAAAGATGGGAGAAAGTTGTCGCAAGCGAAGGACAATACTTTGATTAATATATCGGTAAGCACTTTTTCGCAATAAAACTTTTAATTTTGGGGAAAAAAACGGCGGAAGCAAAGTTGTAAATCTTATAGTAAAAATATTTTAGCTTGGAGGATATACCAATAGACTTTTCTATGAGGCTCAAACTATTTCTAATTACTTTTCCTACTCGCTTATATTAGCATTTTTAACTGGCGACTCTCCGTTACTAATTATTTTTGAGCTAAGTTCGACTTATTATTCATTTTTCATGCCAAAATGTTTGATATTTACGTAATTTTATTTACTTTCCCTTAATTTGAATTAACTTCAATTGTTTCATTGTAATTTGCTTAGACTTGCACAAAGGCGAATACGATTTTGAGAACGGATATCATTCGAAATGAGCGTATGTTCCTTCAAATCTTTTATGATCCCGTGACATATTGGTATGTTCACGGCTGTCGGATAAGCAAAACTCATTATTATATAAAGAGTTTCATATTAAGTTGTCATATCATTCTTGCACTAAAGCTCATATTCTTAACTAGTTCATAACTAGTTCACGTCAAATCGCTACTTACGCTACGCTGGAGGCTACTTTGTTTTTCAGTTTTTGAATGTTTTGTATTTAAACTTTTTTCGCCACGAAATTTCTTACAGTAATGCGTAGCGTGAACTTCAGTAAAATGCTCAAGAAATATTTGCAATCAAACATATGCGCAAACAAAGTATGTATGCCAATTACATACAACTTTTGAGTAGACAAAATTATACACAAAAAAAAATATACTCATATATATATAATATTAAATATTTAAACACGCATAAATTTGTACGTGTAGAATTAAATTTTATTTTATTGATAATGCAACAAAATAATGAGTTTTAAAACATTTAAGCCTTAATATCAACCTATACAATGTGTTGCCAACATATCCAAAAAAATTATTTAAAAAAAAAAACGAATTAAATTTTGTGATTGCGGATCAAAGTTTGCAAAAAATCCAGAGGTCGTTTGATTGAATTTTTTTTTTTTTCAAATCTCAAACTTTGTTGTGAAAAATTTCATGAAAAAAATATTTTAATTGCATTTTAATTAAATTTATTCCCGAAACCGCAAAATGAATAAGCCTGTATTACCCTGCTATTGAATATCATCTTAAAAATATCAGCCGGATTATTTAATAATGACTGAGACACCAGACACCTGTTGTTAAGTTGCTAAATTTTTGCGAATTTTATATTTATTTATTTTATTTTTTATTTTTCTTTCTCTGCTGAACCAACAGGTTTTCTCTTTCATTCTTTTGCAAATTTATTTGTATTTGGAAATTCGCAGCTTTTAGTAAATATTATTATTATGCAAATATAATTTGCAAAATCAAGGAAGTGCAAATTTTCATAACCACCCGTCACACGGCAGAAAGGTTCCACACCAAATGCGTATTTCCTTGTACAAATATTATGGACGTAAACTACCATACAATTTTTGAATACTCTTATTTATCAACACCTGATTCAATATCATAAGTTGACTGTTGACTATGGCATACGGAGAAGCTACCTCGGACCGAAGCAACCTTTATCGGTGGTACAAAATGCTCTCAGAAGGCCGAGAAGATGTGAACGACGAAGAGCGTGCCGGACGCCCGAGCACTTCAACAACAGACGAAAAAATTAATTGCAGGGGCATGGCGCATTATGAGTTCTTGACACAGGGTAGAATGGTCAATAAGGAATATTACCTGCAAGTTATGCGCGAAGCAAACCGCCAGAAACGCCCGGATTTGTGGAAGAACAAAAATTGGCTTTTGTACAACGATAACGCCCCTGCTCACACACCGTTGCTTGTGCGCAACTTTTTGGCCAAAAACAACACACTAATGATGCCTTAGCTACCGTATTCCCCAGATCTGGCCCACTGTGACTGTGCTAAACTGAAGAGGCCCATGAAAGGACGACGTTGCGCTACGATTGACGAGATAAAGACGGCATCGAAAGAGGAGCTGAACAAGATAAAACGAATGATTTTTTGAATGCTTCGAAGATTGGAAAAACAGTTGGCACAAGTGTAAAATATCTCTTGGGGATTACTTTGAAGGGGACAAAATAGATATTCATGAATAAATAAATAATTTTGAAAAAAAAAAACAGAAAATTCGCGATAGTTTTTGGGCACACCTCGTATTATAGACGTAAACTACCATACAATTTTTGAATATTTATCAACACCTGATTCAATATCATAAGGAGGGTAAATACATGTATTTATATTATTTATTTAAGCCCAAATGAAACATATTAA